CAATGTTAAAAAGAATATATGCAAAGCATTCATTAGTCATCAAGAGTTGGGTGATACCAATTAAATATTTATAGTTGTGTGCTATGAGGTGTGTATTTGTGATTATAGCTACGTTTACGGCTAATTTTGTTTAGAATAGTTGATGTAGCTGCATTTATAATTGTATTACATAGTTACCCAAACTACTGTGTATTACTTGACTTTGCTATTGGTCTTTTCTTGCTTGGCTAATAAACGATGATTGGAGTATCATACCAGATACTACTACCAACAATATATTCACACAGATAATAGTTTATTCACTAAGAATAGCTTAAAGAGATAACGAGAATGAAAGTTAGGTGCTTCTTCTATTTGGATTGATGCTTTATATATTATTACTAATATATATTTGATTACTACATTGTTTATGCAATACTAATCACTACTGATTACTACATAATTTATACAATCACTACTTTAGACTTTTAATTAAATCATGATCACCTGATTTATATATCATGCATTAATTAAATCACCAACATTCGATCAACATGTATCTGATCACTAATCACATGAGTACTGTGTAGCATCATGATACAAGCTAAAACTCTAGTAACTTCATCCTCGAAGTTACAACAACTCAAATCTATCCTACCAAATTTCCTTATTTCAAAATGATTACCTAATACTGCACTAACTAATTTCTCTGAACTATATCCAACAATTTGCTTCAAGTATAATCATTTGTTAAAATTGATTTTCTTCACATCGCACCCAGGACTCTATTTTGCTTCATCACAATATGCAGCATTTTGTTTGCTTCGATCTATGCTCTTTTCACATCCTTTATTATAATCAAGCTTATTTGTATTTTCATATCAATTACTTTTTTTAGCATTGTCTACTATAATTTTTTGACAACTCAAACTATTTAACCTTGCAAAACCTTTCACATAATTCTTAACTTTTATTATTCTATTTAACATTTGCAACTGATTAGATTGATCTAAAGAAGCATTACTCATTGTGATGTGTTTCTCATATTTATCCCTATCTTAGAATTATTTATCTCATTTTCATGGTGATTTTTAGAATCATTTGCTCTACCATCTGCAGCTTCACCCCCATCATCATTAACTTTAAACTCATCGCCATCATTCAATTTTTTCTAATTCCTTAACATTCTGTTAAACCTTCTATTAACGTATCTATTTTTGTAACTACATTCAGTAATGCTTCTATTAATACCATTGCTTCTTTATTTTGATGTTGTTCTTTAATATTAATCATTTTTTCAACATCATCCATATCCTTAAATTTTAATAATTCATGAATACCTTCTTTTCATTCTTTTCAATTCCACCTTCTTGGTGATAGCAATATCTAATTATAGATGCTTTATCAGCATCATCTGTATTAGCAGATTTCTGATGATATTTAAAGGCTTTATTTTCCTCTTTTTCAATGCCAATTTCATTATAATAGTAATAGTCTTCACCAAACGTTCTATCGGCATCACTCAATTTTGCTGATTTTTGATAATCAATAGACGTCTTATATTTATCCTTTTTATTACGAATTCTATATTTATCCTTTTTATTATGAATTCTATATTCGTCCTTTTTACCATTAATTTCATCTTTGTAGTAGCACCCAACTATAAATATTTAATTGGTATCACCCAACTCTTGATGACTAATGAATGCTTTGCATATATTCTTTTTAACATTG